GTATATACTATGAGACTATACAGCACGCAAGTTATATTTTTATATCAGAAAAATGCTGTTTTTATATGACTATGCTTTTATTGCAGATTAATTTTCATATAAAGATAGATTAGGGTTGAAATTATAGATTTAATATAAACGAGCGTGCTATAAATGTGGAACTAGAGCTGTAGACAAACATTTATATATAGACATGATATTGCATGTTATACTGCACGGGGATATTATATTTCATGTTATTTATAAAATAACGTGTCTGCCTATACTGGCTACAGTCATAGAAAGAATAAAATATAGTTGTACAACTAAAATTCGTGACATAAACTGAGCTACGAGATTTAAATTGAAATATAAGAAAATCATAAATAGAAATGCAAAAACTCGGGCCTCGTATGAAATGCAGCGAGTTGAAGCCCCGAAATAGAGTCTAAAATTGCATAGAAATAATACATACCCATGATTCTATGCCCATGTTAAATCGTTTGCCCAAGGCCTGTTCTAAAATTTCGACCAGCACTCATACGCGTCGTCGTATTTATTTGTGCGTGCTGATTTTGCTGACTTGCAGTTCTCACGAAAATTTGATGATACGGGGGGTGCTAATGGCACGAATCCCCATATTTGTTATCTCAGTAAACTTTTAACATTGCTGTAATGTAGACGTTTAAACATTGATCGTCAAGCTAAATCAAATTTAAGAAATTTTACTGTTGCTAAATAAATACCGTTTTAACGTTAAAAATTCTCCAACCTTGAAGTTTTTTTAGATATGGCATTGAGATAACATTTGCAACTCCCCCCGGAAAGTTTACTCTATGTATCTCTCGCTTGAATTTCGCCACTCATCACAATAGTGCAACGTTTCCATGGAAACATTGCACTAAAAAGGCTAAAGCCTGACTATAATTACCGAATACTATGTACTAAATCCAAAATTTTATAATCACTGACAGACTTTCTCTGTTTGGCTAGTATCAAATGTTTACATTTGCTAATATTGGGCTCTAGTCCCAGACAATACAATACTGTTTCTTTCAATCTTATAAACAAGACCCGTAGACGTAGTATTAAAGTAGTAACAAGTAATTATAAAATCGATGCAAAGCATATAAACATTTACAAGAAAGGACAAAGCTAATTGCGTATTTTAAAAACATATACATATGTAGAAATGATGACTGAAAAGCTCATAATAAACGTTTGTTATATTAAAACCGTGCTCGAGTGTGAAGAGACGGCATTGAATAACAACACGAGAGAGCACTGTGAGTTACGATTTGCTTGGTTTCTTGAATTGACGTTTGCTTTTCACTGCTCTTGTATAGAAATGAGAATCGACATTTGGAAGATGCACAGTTCAACATCTGGAGATCTCTGCACTTTCGTCCTTATCGTGGGATATTAAGTTAATTAGTCTTTTTTATAGAATATTAAGTTTGGTAAAAGAAAATACCACATTTTTATACGTTGGTATTGTATGTAGTGTACTTGTGGTGCGCAAGAAGAGATTGGCCATGAAGTTCATACGTTTAGTCTTAGATTAAGTTATTTCACATAAACATGTGTGCTTAATGACATTATAGAATCGTTTTGTCAGATTGGCACCAAGTCAATCGTATACGTATATAACAAGAACGTGAGCTATTCTGCTACTTAACTGTACGTAGTTTTGTACTTTAGTTTTAAAACTCACATTCATCTGACGTTTTCGTAACATATAAGAAAACAAAAATTTTAGTATCAGAGAAAAAATTATATATAGAGAATAATACATGGGTAAAGCGATAATTGAAAAACAATAAAACATCCGTGGCAATGCGTTCTCTGATTGGTCAAACATATTTCCTACGCGCTTTTTGATTGACTTGCAAAAATATTTTCACACGTAAAATATCGTATTTTTTACGTGTGTTTATGGGCTGGGACGAGTTGACATGTCGATTTCTTGCTGAACAGCGTGGCGACAATATGGTATATATAAATACAGGGAATTTTTAAAATTTTGTTGGTATAAATGGGCTAGAATAGTACAATCAAAATAGAAAATAGGTCAGAACAAATTAGTAAAAAGCTAAAAATTGGCGTATGCACTCTCTTCAGCAACCTTGATAACATACTAAAAGTCCTCATGTATCCTCTTGGAGCTTTCTCCATTATGACAAGTTTTTTGTTCGATTTTCCTATTGAACTCCTTGTTAAAAAAGTGAAATTTCAGATTCATTTATAGGAAAAATAAGTTACATCATTAGAAAACTTACAAAAAACTACATATAAGACATTTAAACGGCTACCTTGATTTTGCAAGTTCTTCTTGAGTTATGAGCTGTTGGAAACGTGTTGTCAGACGTCTCAGACTAGTACCCAGGATTTTTGCCAGATTTTGGCCTATTTTTCACATTTGGAACAGCAATAACTCGAAAACCGCTTGAAAAATTTAGGTGACTGTTTAAATGTCTTATATTTAGTTTTTATGAGCTTTCTAGTGATGCGAGTCATTTTTGTTATGTGTGAACTTGAAATTTCACGTTTTTTAACAATATGGGAGTAGTAGGGAAATCGAAAAAAACCTTGTCATAATAGAAAAAGCTCCAAGAGGATACATGGGGACTTTTGGTATATTGTTCAGGATAGTTAAATGATTGCATCTAACAATTTTTAGCTTTTTAATAATTTTCCAACCTTGGCCTTAAAATGAGCTAAAATTACTGAACTAGAAACTCATCAAATATTTGGACTACGACTTTCAAACCTATGCCAAGTATTCCTTTGGTTTGATTAGCTCAATAACTGTTTTTTGTCTCGTTTTTTCCTCGATTTGGACAGTCTGCCCAGTAAAGCATAATCTGTCAACACTGTGTTGCGCGCAGCCTGTAGACACGAATATTTTCGTTTGTCTTACAATTACACTTGTCTTCATTGTTTTTAATCCTTGAATGACAACTTATTCATTGGTCACGGAGTCCTAACTCAAGGGAGATGGATGACTTTGGAATAGAACGATTTTGCTCGATGTTGCTTTTCAGATATCAAAATTAATTAAATATGGACATACGAACTTCATAGCCCGGCGTGCAGGCCCACAGAGGGAAGAACAGTGGGCTTGCAAGCAAGACCCGGTATTTTGTACTTTCCGCGTTCGCCCACGAACGCAGCATCCTGATTGGCTGTTTGCTGTTGGATTATATAATTAGATCAGTGATTCATCACAAAGGCTCTCGATAAGCTCATAAAAATTGGATCTGCTCACTTTTTCGATTAAAAATGGGACAAGAACTGACTGTTTATCGTTTACTTGAAGGAAGAGATGTTTTTGCCGTTATGTCAACGGGAAGTGCTTGTCGTGAAGTGTTGGAATAGCAACATTACCACTGGGATAAACTATAGTAACCTTTACTTGAGTTTCAGGAAAAAAAAAAGTAAATGAAAGATACCTGTTTGAAAATTATAGACCAATTTCAGTTCTCACATGTTTTTCAAAATTAATTGAAAAAATAATGCATAAAAGAATAATTTCATATATTAAAAGACATAATATTTTATCAATATGGTTTCAGGAAAAATCGGTCAACTGAACATGCTATAATTGAAGTAACCGACAAAATTTCAAAAGCTATAGATGATGGTTAAATATACAATCGGTATTTTCCTTGATCTATCTAAGGCTTTTGACACAGTTAACCACGATATTCTCCTAAAAAACTTGAACATTACGGAAAAGAGGAAATTCATTTGCCTAAAATGGTTTGAAAGCTACCTACACGAAAGAATGCAAATTGTTAAGTTTGGACATCATAAATCAAACAAATTGATTATATCTACAGGAGTTCCACAAGGCTCTATTCTTGGGCCACTACTTTTCCTGTTATATATTAACCACATTGAAAACTGTAGTAAAATTATATCCTTTGTTATATGTATACTGATGACACTAATGCATTTCACTCTGACAAATGCTTAAAATCATTAACGCATGTTATGCAAGAAGATATGAATGAAGTAATTAAAATGGCTGAACGTGAATAAATTATCTATAAATACAACAAAAACTAAGTATATAATTTTTAAATCAAGAAATAAAAAATGTGACATTGAAGTTTCTATTAAACTTAATAACATTATTTAGCAGCCTTCTCGTATCAAATTTTTAGGTGTAATTTTAGATCGTGAATTAATATGGAAAAACCATATAAACTCGGTTGTTAAACATATAATTAAATCTATGGCACTTATAGCAAAACTACGACATTACATTTATTACGCATTGGTTTATCCATATCTTACTTACGGGAATCTAGTATGGGGTAATACGTACCCAACAAGGCTACAGAAAATACTGAGTAGCTATACAGGAAAAAATTATCAGATTGATAAATTTTACATCTTGAACACACTGAACCATTGTTTCAGAACTTAAAGATCCTGAATATCTTTAAGATCAATGACTATTTGCAAAAGCTCCCGTAAGCTCCCTAGTTCTAAAAGGGTTCGAGGGAGCTAGGAACTCCTTTAAATTGCTTGATTTTATTATCTTTATTGAACTAAGTCAACAAGCACTTGTATATATATATATATATATATATATATATATATATATATATATATATATATATATATATATATATATATATATATATATATATATATATATTATATATATATATATATATATA